GTTTAATCAAAATGTTCCCTTATCAGCGTATCCGCAAATAAAATCTAACCTTATCTGAATATTGTAATGCAGGAAATGTACTCGTGTGACTTGCCCAGTGCTTTCAGACCAGATGTTTGATGTAAAAGTGAAGCCAGTAAAGCAAGTCTTCAGCTTTAGCTATGTAAAAACGACAAATCAAGCTGTGGGGTCTACTGAAGCTGCAAAACACAGTGAAGAGTTGAGAGAACAAGACAGCTTTCAGCATTCTGCTGGGACAGAAAGCCTGGCGTGTTTGTCTGCCTGTTGCCCAAAAGAGTCTGCTGAATTATTGGGCTTTTTCACTTGCAATTACCAGAACAGCAGCAGTCTCAAAGGCTGGCATTTCTGCTTTGGAAAAAACCTAAAGCAGAGCCAGGCTGCAACAGCCCGTGGCACAGCCTTCAGCCCAGTGGTGCTGGAACAACATGAAGTGCCTAGATCCCCAGAGATTGCTTTTGCCACAACACTATTAATTTATTTTTTTCTCTTTTCAACCAAGGGTGAACTCTATCCAAAGTGTAGGCATCTAAGTGTCTTTATGTGAGAACTTGTCCTCTGGTCAAAGAACATTCAGTTTTGCCAGGTCTTGTTTTAGGCAAGCAGGGAAAACCTAATGCCATTAGAACTTTCCTTTCTACTTGGTGTTTTGTTGTTTACAAGAGAGATCTTGGCAAGAGCTTTCAGGCAGCATGTTTCAGTGGCTCCCTGGTGCTACAGGCAGCAAGCAGAGCTCAGCACCTTCAGCTGAGCAAACGCTGGTACCTGCTCTGTGCCCACCATGGCACCAGGATGCCACAGCCAACTTCAGCTGTGGTGGCCTCACAGGCAGGAAAGTAAGCTGAGAGTCTTCACTGGGCTTGAAATTTGTTTAACAGTACTACTGTGGGTTGGTTTTTTGTTGTTGTTGTTTTGTTTTCTCCTTACTCTGAAATTTTTCTTAACTGTGGGTTGTTTTTTTTTGTTGTTGTTGTTTTGTGTTCTCCTTACTCTGAAATTTTTCTTGCAGTTTTGCCTTTGCAGGATTTTCTCTCTAGAGCCTGGAAGTTCCTCCTCCCACCTGGTGTTTTCATACCCATTTCCAGCTAGCACAAGGTGGTGTGTGAGGATTTCCCTCCTTCCCAGCCCATGGTTCTGTTGTTTTTTTTTTTCTAGAAAAACACGAGTGGCTTTGCATAAATTCATATGAAAATACAGCTGTGTGGTGCTTGGAAATTAAAGTGTACTGCCTAATGATAGTGCCTTCAGGTCCTCATTAGGACTGAGGGCCCTGTTGTGGTACAGGCCTGGACAAAACCTTCTACAGAACAGATGTTGACCAAGTCATCATGATTTTTAAGAGCAGAATTGCTCATCTTTTTATTTTTAAGTTTTGTTTTATAAAGCTCACAGAAAAATTAGGATCTGCTTTGGCAAGTGGAGATGATCCAAGTCTGCCTTCTGCTGTGTGGCTCCTTGTTATACTTCATTACTTGGTCTTTCAACTTCCAGACATGGAAATAGAGATACTTACCTGAATCTTCATGTAACCTGCAAAGAAGGGGGGGGAAAAACTGACCCCTTGAGGGAAACTAGCTGTCATCTGGGCTTGTATAAGATAGCCAAAACCCATCTGGATAGAAGATATGCTACTTTGAAAGCACAGCAGGGCTTTTGGCTTGGATTAATGGCTTTTTTTTTTAATAGAGAAACTTTGAAAAAAGAAGTTATAGTCATAAATTGAAGACTTTCTATGTTTGCTAAAATCATTACCTCGTAACCTGCAAAGAGGGGGGGGAAAAACTGACCCCTTGAGGGAAACTAGCTGTCATCTGGGCTTGTGTAAGATAGCCAAAACCCATCTGGATAGAAGATATGCTACTTTGAAAGCACAGCAGGGCTTTTGGCTTGGATTAGTGGCTTTTTTTAATAGACAAACTTTGAAGAAAAAAGTTAGAGTCATAAATTGAAGACTTTCTATGTTTGCTAAAATCATTACCTCAGGAATGTGAAAAGAGAACAAAAAAGAAACCCCAGAAAAAGCCCTTCACTGTGGGACAGCACACCTGTTGGTTTTCTGGAGAGCAGGCTGACGTGCCGGAGATACAAAGAGCAGAGATCAGTAGCTGTCTTCAAAGGCCACCCTTACATTTTCATAAAAGCATTTCTGTCTTGGTGTGGTTGGTTGGAACATTTATCTCAACAGCCTGGTCGTCTTTGGTCTATCTTCTATTTTTTTTTAGCATTCTTGGTTCTTAGATGAAATAGCCCCGTGGGTGCGATTGCCCTGGAGCTGTAATTTCTTTGATACAGCTCCACTTGTTTGGTGCTGGTGTACTCTGGCTGTTATTTGCATGGTAAAAACAAGCTGCCCAATTCCCAGGCTGTCTTGACAGACACTCTTCTTACCTGCAGTTCTACCAACATACCCAGCCTGCCTTCCAGGGGGTTGATCTCCCTGTAGCATTGCTGCTAGTAGTCGACTGTGAACTCTCAGTTCTAGGTCCCCTTTGACACAAAATCTTGGAGCAAAGTTTAGCCACAATAGAGCACATAAAACCTTCTAATCTGGTGTTTGAGAGAGTACAAAAATCAAGCTGTTGGGTGGCTTTTGATTCTACTCTATTAACTGGTGTTAACCATTTTAACGAGGTTGAATTTACAGATCTCTTGCAGTAGCTTTTTAAGACAACAGGTTATTTAATAACCTGTTTCCTTTAAATATGTGTGTCCCTACTGAATAGAAACAATGATAATTATGGGGTTTTTTTTTGTATCTGTGCCCCCTTCTGCTGAAGGAGGTAAAGGAAGGAAGGAATTCTGCCTGCAAGCTGCTGGAGCAGTGTCCTGTGGAGATCTGCACAGCAAAGATGTGCCCTGCTTCATTATTTTATAGCAACAGGTGTGCTGGCTTAGCACAGAATAACTCCCTCCTGCCTTCCCCCTTCAATTATACCTCTTCCTGGTGCTGGCAGCTGCAGCAGAGATCAGCCTTCCCCCCTGCTCTGCTGAGACTCAGTCATTTGTTATTCCATATGGTTGAGGTCTGCAGCCTGACCAGAAGCTCAGCCCCGCGCACGGGGGCCAGGGGAGCAAGAAGGGTGTGCATCCCCCTCCAGGTTTTGATCTCCTGGCATCCTTCCATGCTTACAAAGGGCCCCGTCCCAGCTCACATCTTCACTCCTGAGTGAACAGCATCCAGATTAACTCCTCTGTGACCAGTAGGAGCAGCCAGCCTGGAAAAAAAAAGCCTGTGAGCTGCAGAGAGCTCGTGGGGTTATGGCAGGGAGTGACTGTCTTGGAGCTGGACTGATTGGAGTGCTGGAGTCTCTGTGCTGCCTGCCGAGGCCTTTCAGGGCTTCCCCTCCTCATCTGAGGTTGGATGTATGCAGGGAGGATATGAATTAGGGGCAGCATTCAAAGTAAATTCTGCAGTGATATCTTGGAGACTATTTGTGCTGTATCACTGCCAGTTGTATTCTTTTTTTTCCCCCCTTTTTCTATGTGTATTTTGAAAGTTGGCATTCAAGGTTGAAGGAAGTTGGCATTTAATCGTTCAAGGTTGAAGTAAGTTGAATAAAAAGTCTAGGTTTAGTATGAAAAAGAGCTGGGAAGAGGAGACTTGGAGGCCTTCTGACTTCACCAGTGGTTCTGCCCAGCACGAGAGAGCATGTATATACCTTGGAAAAATCTGGTAATTAGAGAAAACATAGAGAAAATATCCTGTTCTGCTATTTTAAAATGCTATAAATCGTGTGGCTTCCTGCGACCTCATGCGTGTCATTGTTTAGTGTGAGGTAGAGGATGGGAAAAGGAGGTAATGGACTTTCTGCACAAATTAACTTCAGAAAAGTTAATGGTTTGACCTTCATCCATAGGAAGGGAAGAGATAGGAAAGCTTGTTTTAACGCCTGGAAAAGTAAGGATCATAAAGACAGGAAAGGGAAAATACTTCTTAACACATGATCTCATTGTTACTTTTTTCACTGGTAATTTATTAGCCCAGCAAAAGTTGACTATGACAAATAGTGCTTGACCTCACTGCAAGCTTAATTCTGAGAGATCCTAATATTCAGAGTGATTGGTTTTGACATTTGCCATGTTGTGAATGAAAGGATTTGTGATGTCCACTAAAAAACAAGTTACTCCCCAATCTCTATAACAAGTCTAGCTTTTAATCCATTGAGTAGCTTGGACTTTGCTGTAAGGTGTTCAGAGATAGAAGCTGAGGCACTGGAAAAAAAGAGCTGATTATTTTATCTTAGTGTATCAGGTATCATGTTCATATTCCCAGAGCAAAAGGGACCTTTGTTTCCCCACTGGTGAGGAGGCCTGGAGAGTGTGGTGAACCCAGTAGTTCCTGATGTGTTTCTCTGATCTCATAGCAGCATGTAGTTGGAGCTCAACTGCTGCTCAGTTGGGTTTTTAAACTACATAATTTTGTTCAAATTGCACATTTTGTAAACTGACTTGAAGAGTTAATGTCTGTTTTAATACTGACTTGTAAGAACATAGTCCAGGTTAAAAATAAAATTACAGCTGTTGGGACCAGGCTGAGTTCAAGGCCTGTTAGTATTGTCTTCAGCAAGAAAACCTGTCCTGATTAGCAAGGTTTTGGGTTAGAGGCCATTGGGTGATCAGCAGGATCACAAGTGCAGCAAAACAAACTGCACCTCAGCATGGTGACGTGCTTACTTCCCAGCATCTGTTTGTGGGACTAAAGCTAAAATGCAGAACTGTGGTTGGGTTTTGGCTCTTCTTCAGTGGCCCTGTGTGAAAACAAGCTCCCATCTGGCCAAGCAGGTAGGTAGCAGGGTTGCTGTGGAGTAACCGGATACAAGGAGAAGAGTTCTTGCTTAGACATGTGCTCCTAGATTTGACTACCTTGGGTTTAAGACAGATGTGCCTGTGCCCCAGGGGAGGAAGAATGTGTTGTGCATGTTTGTTTGTCTTTCCCAGTCCCTCAGGAGGGAGTCTCTAACGCTGTGGCTTCTCCCTTGCAGTCCTGCCCCCCGTGCTGGTGCCGCGGCACAGCGAGTACAACCCCCAGCACAGCCTCCTGGCCCAGTTCCGCAACCTGGGGCAGAACGAGCCCCACATGCCCCACAACGCCACCTTCCCGGACTCCTTCCAGCAGCCCAGCAGCCACCCCTTCCCCCACTCGCCCAACAGCAGCTACCCAAACTCGCCTGGGAGCAGCAGCAGCACCTACCCCCACTCTCCAGCCAGCTCGGACCCGGGGAGTCCTTTCCAGATGCCAGGTACGGTCAACTTGGATTCCCCTTCAGGAGGAAGGAGGTGGTTGGACATCACTGGTGTCAGGGGGGTTTTTTTCACTTAGTAATGCCAAATTATCAGCCAAGGCTTGTGTGCAAGCTGATGTCATGCAAGTGATGATGTAATTTCAAGAAACAAATGTACTTTAACTGAAAAAAAAACCCAACAGTTCCTTAAGGCCCTGAAAAGAAATCCTCAGGCTGCTTTCTGTCCTAAAATGAAAAAAAGGTTTTCTAAAAAAAATGGAAAAACAACCTTTGTTAACCAATGTCTGTAGAAAATCCTGTCAAGTCTTTTTTTTGGTCTTGAGGTGTGGATGGATAAAAATACTGCAGAAGCAGTCTGGGACAGATTTCTTGATCTGAATGCCAGGAGGAGGGCTCCATACGGATGTTTACTGGGGTCCTGTTTGTGTGTTTTCTTGGGGGGCTGAGGGAGGGCATGTGTAACCAAAGTGGCAGACTGAAAATCTGTTTTCTATTACATGAGATGAACATCTGTAGATTTCTGCTGCTGATAGTTTTCTCTTTACATTTTTTTTCTCATGTGAGTGAAGACTACTGAATTTGCAGAGGCAGGAAGGAAAGAGTTTGTATTGGCTTTTCTAAAAACATGTGAGAAGTTGCCACAAACTCAGCGGCCTTTCCTTCTTTTTATTTTGTGTTTTATTTTAGTTTGGTTTTGTTTTAAATATGATTTGTGTGGCTGGGGCTCTTCCAGCAGAGATAAAGGCTTCTTGAACAAGGTCTTCCTGAACGCTGACTTAGGGAAGTCCACTCGATATTTGAGGGTCTGTTCTGTCCACGTGCCTGTAAAGCAGCAGCTGCAATGAAGGAATTGAGTAGAGGAGAGGTCAGGAGACTGATGTCCTTGATGCTCAGCTCTGGAGAGCTGCCCACTTGGCACTCGTGGAGAAAGAGGCTGACTTTTGGAAAATAAAAAGGGAAAAAAAAAAAGAGCAAAGTGGTTATCCAGAGATCTTGAAAACTTCCCAGGCTGGATACTTTGGTGCCTGTGGCCTTACAGTCTTATTGCCCTGCCTGTGCAGCAGAAACATCATGTTTGCACACACACCAGCATTTAAGGCTTAGTAAAACACCAGACCTGAACTCCAGTGCAGGCTGCTGAGCTTTCAGTGCAGTCCTGTTGTCATCTCTCTCTCTGCTGCTCTCTTGCCCGACTGAGGTTATCCAAGTAAAGGAATTAGCAAGGTACCTGCCAGAATTAGATATAAAGCTCTCAACAGAATATTTTCTAAACAATAAGCAGATAATAGTTTTCATTAATTTATGTTTGCTTTAAAAAACCAAACACACAGAGCACAACAAAACCCCTAAAATAACCCAACCAAACAAAAAACCCAAAACTCACCAGTGGCATGATTCTCCTGCCTTTTGTTAGTGCTAATTTGGCTTTCAGAGTCTTGGAAACCCCTCTGATTATTTGCTGTGGTGGTTTGCAGTCCATGCTCTCAGTAATGGAAGTAAATATGGGGCAAGCAGCAGCCATGGTCCCTGGAGATTGTACAGTGGCTTTTTAATCCCAGTTTTTACAGGGATCAGACGAGGGTTTCTCTCCTCTGCCTGTACCTCTGTGCAGTTGATTTAGAGGAGTGTGTCCTCTGTGTTGGGAATATTGACTTGAGCAGCTTCCTGCAGCTTCTAAGAGCAGTCAGGTCCTGGATATATCTGGGATGTTTGTGTTCTTTGATAGAATCACGTTGGGAATGGAAAGTTTGAACTGAAAGTTTTCTGCTCCAGCTTCCCTTCTCATTTACCACGTTCAGTATCTCCTGGCCTTGTCCTGAGACCTCTCTGTGCCTAGATGACACTTTCAACCTGCAAAAATCGTGGGCTGGAAACATAGCTGGGCTTTTGTTTGTGGCTTGATGAGGGGGAAGTGACTTGTTTTTCTTGCAGTTGTGGTTCATATGCCCAGTAATTCTTTGCTTTCCTGATTCAAGGTCTGTGATTGCTTTCTCAGATTGCTGGTGGGTGGAAGTTTATAGCTGAGTCAGGCTGGAAGCCTTTCCAGGCTAAAGCTGGTTATGTGGGTATGTATATATACACTTTGAAGAGAGGAAAGGACTGTGTATCTCTGCCTTTTCTTTATTTAGCTGACACTCCTCCTCCTGCTTACCTGCCTCCGGAAGATGCGATGACACACGATACCTCCCAGCCCATGGACACCAACATGATGGCACCTGCCATGCCCCCTGACATACACAGAGGAGGTAAAACCACTCCTCCTTCTCCTCTGCTTTGCTTCTGATGAGTAAAGAACTTTCACAACTTGCTTTTAAGAACTGTATTTTAATTTCGGATGTAGGTTTGTTTATGGAAATCTTTAGCTGTGGAAGAGAAAAACAAACAGAAACAAAAACACAAAAAAAAACACCCCAACCAAACAACCCAGCCATGTAATTTTTTCTGTTGTTATGAGGGATGAAATCATAGAATCATAGAATGTTTTAGGCTGGAAGGAACCTTTGGAGGTCATCTGATCCATCCTCCCTGCACAAGCAGGGACACCTCTACCTAGGTCAGGTCACCCAGGGCCCTGTCAAGCCTGACCTACTAGTAGTAAATGTGTTTATGTAGGTATGGACCCACAGAACCTAGAAATAGTACATATGGAGAGAAAAACTTAAAAATGCAAATATTTAAGACACAAAGCTATCACACAACTCTTTAAAAATGTATAAAGAGTGGGGCTTATTGCTTTTTTACTCCCAGCCAACTCAATGGCCAAAATAATTTTATGGGGTTTTTTTGTCTGGAACTTCCACTAATCACCAAAGAGAGAATTCCTGTGACACTGAAATGAGACACGGGCAAGGAAAGGAATCTCTTTTCTTTCTTATGAAGTTAATGCTATATAAAGCCTACTGAACTGTGGGTGACAGTAGACAAGGCCAGGTACAGCTCTCCAGGCAGACTTGACCAGAGGATGGGTGCTCATGCTGTCAGTGAAGAAAATACCCAAAGACATTTTACATGGGCCACTGGAATATCTGTATTTTTGTCCTGTGAGACAATATGTGTCATGAAATTGTCTTTTCTTGTTATGGTTTTGTCCTGAATTTCAAACTTCATTCCTTAAAGAGTATGCTCTTCTTTAATAGTTTCCCTTCCTCCTGTTTTTAAGGGTGTTTGAGTTGAGGTGGCTGCTTTTTTTCATCATTTGTCTCGTTCCACTCTCTCTCCCCATTTTTATTGCTTCTTTGAGAAATAACCCCCTCAGAGAACACATGAGCTTACCCACTTGTGCCCCATGCCAAGGCAGAGCAGCAAGCTGGATGCTGTGCCAGAGTGATTATCAAGGTCCACGAGCACATGAACAATTTAACAGTTATTTGATTTCGATTTATTTATTTATTTCAAACGTGTTTTGTTGGCTAAGCTGAATGGCTGGTGTCAGGAAGGATATTTGTCCTCTCAAAACAGTTCAGGTAGATTTGTGCTAACCTGTTTACTCTCTGGGTGGAATGAGTTTTGCATGTGATAAACCCCAGCTTGCAGCATTTCCACTCCTTGCTGCTCTGGTACCCTCTGGGCGTGTGTATAGTCAAAGGACTTTTGTCAACGTTCAGTGCAGACCTTTGCATGTCTGTCCCCCTCACAAAATCCATGAGGAGTGTGGAATTCCTCTGTTACATGAGAGGTGATAAAGAGAAAAGGGTTTACATTTTTCTTCTTGCTTTTTAGCATGGATCCATTTAAAAAAAAAATTGTCTATTAGAAATTTCCCTTCCTAGTAGGTTCGTACAATGGATTTCCATTTCTGTCCTTTCATTAAAAAAAACAAACAAAAAAAAACCCTAAACCTTACTTCTGTGTGCTTTTGTCTTTATTAATTTGTATATGTGTGCTGCAACTGCACTATTAAAAAAAAAGAAAGTGCTGCAGAGTGTAGAATTGTTTTTAATGTGAACTTACTGCAGGGTTTTTGTTGCACACTTTTTGGAAGCATGTTCTGCGTGATGTTAGTCTTAAGAGGTTTGGTTTAACAAGCTGCATCCTGTCAATGGAGTTGGGTAATTTCCATTGTTGGCCCGTGCTGGGAATAGAGAGACTGAACGCACCTGCTCTGCATGACTTAAAGCCAATGTGAGGAAGTCAGTATGAAATCTGTGTGAGAGAGATATGATTCATTCTGCAGGAATGGCCAGCTGGCAAGATTTCTTCCTGACTTTGAGAACTGGGGCAAAGCTGCAGCTTTGATAATTGCTGGCATCTTCATGGGAATTGAAAGTAACCTCTTACTGATAATTAGCGACTGATCTTTTTAATTCTTTTTAAACTGTTTTCTTTTTGCAGTGACATGAAAGGGTAGAAAATGCTAGGGTATCAGGAAAGATCAGCTCATTTTTATCAGTGTTTTAAGCAAGGTATTGGTCAGCAGTAGACACTGTGCCCAGAAGTTTTGCAGAGTGGTGTGGGATGTGTTATCCTGCTTTTGATTATTTACCACCTTTTGTATCTGCTGCCCACTGCTGGTTTGGAAGGGACTTTTTAGTTTGGGGGTTGAATGTATCAGAAATGTATCATCATAGTGGTATGATCTGTGAAAAGAGGAAAATATCAATGCTGGTCTTAGATGACAGGTTTCAGTGAAGATTTGGGGCTGGGAGAAGGAACCCTCTGGCCAGAGAAACAAGTTTTCATTTTAGCTCTTTGACCTGCAGTTGGAGCTTTAATCTGGGAGGTGGGTATCTTAGCTTCAGGTCCAACTGTGCTAGGCTTAGCAGTGGGATAGTCTCCCATCTTTTAAAGGAAACCACTTGAAGCAACCTCCATCTATTTGGAGGCACTAGCCTCCTTCTGTTTGGAGGCAGTTCACTGATTTGTTTTAATAACTCTGTGTTTGGCACTTGAAAGCTCACACAGGGGGTGGAGGTGTCCAAGGAAGCTTTTGCTGTTGTTGGACACCCACTGGGAAACTCTTTTTGGTAAAGATCTTTTGGTATCACCTGGAGAAATTTAATTCCTCTGGACAGTCACAAGTTTTACCTCAAGACCTCCATGAGTTTCTTGAGCTTGATGAGTAGAAATTGTGCCCCAGGAATCTCCTGTCAGTGTTCTGCACAACTACCAGCTTCAGTCAGGAGCTGCTGAGGAGGAGCTTCTTGTTACCAGAGTCTGGAAAACCATGTTCTGAGAAATCCTGGCTGTTACTCCATAAGTAATGCTTTTGGTGATGAACAGCTGCAGATTTTGCATTTGGTAGGACTTGATGAATAAAAGCTTCTCATCAAATAATATCCAGTAGACAGATTTGTGTGAGTGGTGAATGGTAAAAGATGGATCTGCTGACTGTCTATTTAAAAGCTACCTTGATATACTTCTTGGTAGACAGAGATACATGTGATCTTTTGGGCAGTTGTGTGATGCTGTTTGTCCCTGTCACTGTACAACTTTGCAGGAAGCACAGAGGTGACTTGTAATCTGGTAGCTGGGTAAAATGAAGTAGAACTTAATTTACTAATTTGGAAGGAAAGATGAGGTGCATAGTGTGAAGTTTCTCTGCTGTCTGGGCCCACAGAAGATGCAGCAGCGATATTGGGAATTTATTAATTTGGAAGGAAAGCTGAGCTGCATAGTGTGAAGTTTCTCTGCTGTCTGGGCCCACACCATAGTGTGCTGTAGAAGATGCAGCAGGGATATTGGGGCACTGCTTGGTATGTCCCCAGGAGCTTCTTGCACTTTTCTGTTGATATCTAGTGCCAATCTTTATTTCATGTGAGTCTTGGGCAACTGAAGTTGAGGTGAAATTCTTTTATTGTATGTCTGTGGCTATGAGAAGTTCAGAAATAACTGAACAGTAGAAGAGCCTTCATTTAGGTGCAGTTGCTTATCTGGCTCATTTTTCAAGGACCTTGAGCCAAACCCTGCAGGTTTATGATTCTTCACACCCAGAGCCTGTATCCAGCAGTGTTAGGCTGTAACTTTTCCCTTGCTGATTCACAGATGTCCAGGCAGTGGCCTACGAAGAGCCGAAGCACTGGTGCTCCATTGTCTACTACGAGCTGAATAACCGCGTTGGGGAGGCCTTCCACGCCTCTTCCACCAGCATCCTGGTGGATGGCTTCACTGACCCCTCCAACAACAAGAACAGGTTTTGCCTGGGGCTGCTCTCCAACGTGAACCGCAACTCCACCATCGAGAACACCAGGCGGCACATCGGCAAAGGTCAGGGCTGGAGCCTTCCGGCCATTTAGGGGGTCTCAGAAGGGGGGAAAGTGTTTCCCTACTTGCCTCAAGAGTGGGTCTTCCCAAGGACCTGGGATAAGAGCTTGTAGTTGGTAAATATCTGATTTTCTGGCCTGTAAATGGCTTTCTGGCTTATAAGCAAAGTGTTCGTATGTGGTGTGTAGTTACAGGAAGCTTTTCCCCTTAATCCATTTTTAATTGCCTGAGGGCTGTCATAGTCTTAATTGGAACGAGAGCTCAGGGCAGTTCAACTAATGAAACGTCTTCATTTATCTTAACTATTGGTGTCTATGAAAATGCAGATTTTGCACCAGATTTTTAGCTAGCCTCCATTGCAATGGAGATTACTTTTCCTAATGTGTTCAGAGCAACAACCTGCTAGAACAGTTTTTCCAAATGCTTTTTTTCCACAGGCTGGTGGTTCTTTCAGTAGGAATTTTGTGCTTCTCTTCTAGAGCTGGGACAGTGTCCTGCAAAAGAGAAAAGCTTGTTTTATAGCTGCAGTAATACAGGCCTCTTTGCTGAGAAGTTGCCTGGAATGCAGGTGAAGGCAAAGCTGACGTTGCCCCCTTCAACGGGCCGTTCTTGCCAGACAAATTTTTTAGATGTTTATGTTG